TTGCTGGTGAATTGGGATATAAGAGTCATTCAGATTTGTTTGCTGGAGTTGGCTTTGCAACTGAGTTCTCTGATCTTAGACTCCTGAGTAGCTAGGATTACAGGCATGAGCCATCAGTGTCTGGCTCATACTGGGTCTTGTATGTACAACAGATGGCAGGTCAGCAACAGCTGAAATGGGAAGCCAGTCTGAAGGGTATTTCAGTAACCCGGATGTGAGCTGCTGGCAGCTTGTATCAGTTGTGTAGCTCATGGTACAGGTCATAGGAAGTGGGAGATGCTAGATATGACTTGAAGACAAAGCTAACAAGATTTGCGATTATATCACACTGGATAGAAAAGAGGAGAAAGACAAGAGGGTGGCCCTAGCTTTCCAAAACCAAATTCTGAAGGGTCTCCACCCTTGTTTGGAGAGCATTTGGAATTACGATTGGCATGGCTGAGCCTCTGGGAGCCCAGAATAGAGAAGAGGTGATCCACATTCCTGGGGACTTTCTATTTAGTCATTCTAACTGAAATGTGGGAAACCATTAGGTTTATATAATTTATGGTCCAGGCAGTCAAAGGGTTTATGGAGGCACTTCCTGGCACAGCTGGATGCCTGGAAGGGATGTCTCAGGCTCCTCCTCTTCTCTATCCAAATTTATTCTTCAGGCTTTAGGACAGAAGAGGAGGAAAAGGAATGCAGGAGATGATGTCAGCAGGAAAAAGGAAAAAAAAAGTATGCTGTACTCACTCAGTATAAGGGACAGGGGAGACAGGCTCCAAGACCACAGAGCCTTCCCCAGGGCAGAAAGCATACTTCATGACCGCTCACAGCCTCCTCTGGGTGTAGCCCTACTTCATAGGAACACACTGCCTGCTTTTTAAAGTTAAACACACCATAGCCTGCGGTTTGTAAGCCACGTATGGAGTTGGGAGCGGCAAGAAATAATGATGAAAGGAAATCATTGAAATGTGGACACAGCAGCTCTGCGAAAGACCCCGGTGGCTCTGCAGACAGCAGTCGCGATTCCAGCATCACCGAGATTTGCTAGGAACCTGGTATCTATCGCATGGTGTCTCATTGAATTCTCATGGCAATCTGGTGACGTTAGTTCTTATTTCTCCCATCTTCTAGATGAAAACACTGGGGTTTGGAGAGGTCACAATAGAATCAGTTGTAGATCTGACCCCAAAGTCTTTTTTTTGTCAGAGACTGTGCCATAACTCTTACAGACACTGACTGCCTCCTGGAGGAAAAGGGTGAAAAGGAAACTGGCAGTGGTAACACTACCCTGGCCTACTTCCAGTTCATCTAGTGTTCAACAGAGGCAAGCCGCCCAGACGCACTGTCAGCGCTCATCGCTAGCTTGCAGTTTATCGACTTTAAAATGATATTAAGTATCATACAGGCACCCATGACCCATACCTATAATCCTACTACTCAGGAGGCTGAGATCTGAGAATCGCCATTTGAAACCAGCCTGGGCAAACAAATAAAAAAGACTCTTATCTCCAAGAAACTAACAAAAAGCCAGAAATGGAAGTGTAGTTCAAATGGTAGGGCAACAGCCTTGAGTGAAAAACCCAAGTGAGAGGCAAGGCCCTGACTTCAAGCCCCAGTATATAAATGTGTGTGTGTGTGTGTGTGTGTGTGTGTGAACTAGGTTTGATAACAGATGATCATTTTCCCTAAGGGATGTACCAATAAGAGATGTACCAAATAGAAAAGATCTTGTTTTCTCTCCTCTTCCTTTCCCTTTCCTTCCCCCCTTTTCCTTCCTTCCTCTCCCCTCCCCTTCCCTTCTCTTCCCTTTACTTTCTTGTGCTGGTCTGGGGGCTTGAACTCAGGGCCTGGTTACTGTCCCTGAGCTTTTTGCTGAAGGCTAGTGCTCTAGCACTTGAGTCATAACTCCACTTCTGGCTTTTTGGAACTTTATTGGAGGTAAGAGTCTTAGAGACTTTTGTGCTGGGGCTGGCTTCAAACCATGATCCTCAGCTCTCAGCATCCTAAGTAGATAGGATTACAGGTTTGAGCAACTGAGCCCTGTAACAGCTTTAGAGGTGAAATTTGCAGAAGGGATGACCTTGAAATAGAGGCAGGGGGTGTGTGTTAGGGACACCTTCCAAGGTCATAGAATTCAGTTGGCAGAGCCTGGGTTCAAAAAGCAGGCAGGGCTCCTGTCTCCTAGGCCACAGCTTGGCTGGGCTGCAGCTCTGCATTATCACTGCTCTGCTCTAACAGGGAAGGATGCTTTAAGGAGGGTGATCTCTTTTTGTGCACTAGAGAGTTTAACTGCAATTCACACTTAGCTGAACAAGGCTTTTCTGAGCATCTTCTGATGAACTATTCTTCTGTTTTTCCTTTGCCATCTGCTACTCTGCAGATCAAGGCTCCTGTGCCCTGTTGGAACAGAAGGCTTCTTCTTGAGCTCCTGATGTTGGCTGATGTTAGGTTGTCCTGTCTAGCTGGGACAGAAGATTATGTTGGATTAGAACCTGCTCTAATCTATTCAGGTCTCCACACTAATAGTGAGTCTTCAGCCTGCCTGGCTGGCCTCTGAAATCTGAATCTACTCCACCCAACTCATCTCTGTATGCACACACCCTTCGCCGTTGAAGGCAGGTGTCCTGGATTCACCCCATTTCTGCCCCAGAAATAACCTCCCTGATCACTTCCTATGCAAATCCATTCTTCAGATCATTCATTCTATGTCCTGTGTACACCCCAAGGTTTGCTTTCCAAGTTTTTCTTGATCTATATATTCTCATCTCTTAGATATCAAGCCCTTAACATGTGCCTGCTTATTGCTCCAAATGCACTGCAGATTTCTTGAGGGCAAGCACAAATGTGTTCATTCATTCACTAGATTTGTTTTTAAAGAGTTTTATGAGGTGAGATACAAAGAGAAGTATAAGCAATAGTCTCTTTCTGTTCTCAAGGGAGATTGGTAGTTTACAAACATCTGTGTAGCAAACAGTGGGGCCTCAACAAAGCTTTGCTATAGTGAATTAACATACAGAACTGCCTCTTGTTTCAGTATTGGCTAAATCCTGTAAAAGGTGTTGAGTTAGTGTTATTAGAGGGAAAGCATGAAATTGTGTCACTTGCACTTGGCCTTGAGACTGAAGTATTTCCCCTCCCCCCTTAAGCAGTTCGAAAAAACAGGTCCAGGCAGAAGAGGGTATAGACAGCATTCATTCCCATTATACAGGCCCAACACTCGCCAGGGACCAGGTGCAGGGGGAAAAGCAGTGGAGCCTTGTCCTTGCCAGGGGAAGTAACCACCTTGAGCAAGAGTGGGCAAGTTGCTTAACTTCTGTGGGTCCCAGTTTCCTTCCCATTCCGCGGAGAGGGAGCCCCACGGGCTTTGGCAGGAGCAGATCTAGGTTCAAATCATAGCTGTGTGTGTGACCTTGAGCCAATCAGTTGGGGGTGGAAGGGTAGAGGAGATTTAGCCTCAGTTTCCCTCTCCTATAACATGGCAAAAATATTCCTTTTCAGGGTTTTAAGAACACATGTAAATTGTTAAAGCACAGGACATGACATGATTCTATTCCCTTCTCCCAAAGTGAGGGTGATAACCATGATCTGGGTAGTGGGGGGGGGAGCTTCTGGGCATGGAGCTGGGAGCCCGTCTAGTGTAGGAGCTGTGAACCACCCCTAGGAGCCCCCTCCCCTAAATGAAAAGCTAGTCAGGAGAAGAGCTGTCCTCTGCACACTAGCTGGGCTAACAGGTACCGTATAATGGACAGAGTGACTGCGGTCCAAGACCCTTTGCTCACTCTTAGCCAAACACGTTCCATTGCGCGGTAGGTAACCCTTAGGGCCTCTGCCTTCAAACCCTGGGGGAGAGACAGGTCCACCTCTCCTCCGCAGACGGCCTGGGGGCAGCCCCAGCGCCCCC